CAAACGGAGCCACTCGGCTGGCGGAAAACTGTAAATTTGCACAATGACAGGCCTTGAGAGGCATTTGGAAAAGGGGACCCTGCACGTAGTAACCTCACCTCTCAAGCGTTCCACAATAACACAAAAATTGACAGACAAAAGCCAACGGCTTGAGCAACAACTCTTGGACACAAGGACCGCAACAAACAGGACGGGTTGGTTGTTGGGTTGATATGGAATACGATGGTATGGGATGGTATAACACAACAGGGCAACGGGGACTGCCAACCCAGAACCGTTTCCGACTTCTACGGGGGCAACCCAAATTGTCAAAGCCAAGTTAAGACCTGTTTCGAATAGAGGGCCACGTGTCCGGGTCTCGACTTCACACTTGTCCCTCCTCGCAATTTAGATCCTTTGTGCTGTCAAATCGCCTCTGACACAGTAGAGTTTCTTTGAAAAGGTGTTCTATATAAACATGATCTCTGGGGCTTATACAAAATATATAATTTTAAAAATATATCTTAACTGTGTGATATATTTTTAATCATCTATTTTATTTTCTACCACTCAACAAAAAAGCTTTTTCTAAGAGGAGATTTCTTGAAAGTGGTTCTATATGAAAACGATCTTTAAGCTTATGAAAATGTAACTATATAGATCCCAACTTTTCATTAAAAGTTAGACCATGTACTTTACCAGAGAGAAGATTACTTGAAACGGGTGCCATTTTGATACATTCTTCAGGGCTTTTAAAAATATTTACCATTTTAAAAATATATCCTAACTTTATGATAGTTTATTTTTTTTTTTGCATAGTTATGATATTGACAGCTAGGTCTTAATCCCACTTTGGTAGGCTCGACTGTATTAGATAAGGGCTCAAGAACATTGGCAAGACTGCGACTTCGACTGAGGCCAAGACCCGGTTGAAGGTTTGTCTTGGCCTGGCCTACACCTGTTGCCAATTGTTGTCTACTGCTGGCCAGCCCGGCAGTTTATGTTTATGTTTATGTTTATGGCCCTGGCCGACAAGACAACCTCTGTGGGCTTCCGACTAGCCGAAGATGTAGTGTCCACAGGATTTTGTGCATTTTGTTTACCTTTTTGCCGTTGTAACTTTTTATTTGTTTTAAATAAATTTTACACGGAAGCTTTTATGTAAATTTTATGGTAATTTGCCTGGCAGATTTGCTCGACGCTGGTTGCATAAGTTCTGGGGTCCCCGAAGTTGTTGCCCTGTAAATGGACAGTTGAGTGGCTTGTCTACTCAGCACTCGAACTCCTGAGGCCACAAAGCAGATTTAAGTGTAACACTTTTTATGCCGATTGTCTTTTATTTTTTTGATTTCTCCCGAATTGCTAAACATGCTGATTCATGGGGGAAGAATGCCCTGGGAATTACATGACCAGAAGTTTCTTTTAATCTTCGCCAAACGATCTCTCGACTTTCGCCCATTAAGAACGAATCTACCGGTTTAGAAGATACATTTGTATGCAGAACAAAAAATAATCTAGATTTGAAATTGAATTGAATGATCGTTTAGGCCTTAAACCCATAAAATTGCGTTGTTAAGCTCTCAATGCTAAAATATTTGAAATTCAATGATAACATATTACTAGATGCACTGGAATCCAAATTATAATAAAAAAATGGCTTGTTTTTACAAAATTTAATATTAAAATCATTTCAATTCTGTTAAAATTATCAGACTTCAAAAAATGCTATACGATTTTGTACAACCTATTCAAATTCTTTTAGTTTATCTATTATAGAATAATTTTTCTCAGTGTGCACCTGTTGGCGTGTGTGTTTGATGATAATGGCTTCATCTAATCGATTACATCATTGAGGCAATCGCGTGCCTTTTAGAGTTCAAGTTGAATTGTTGCTTAATTCGAGCGTTTTGCTTATTTGCCTTACTGCTTTTTTTCGTTTGTGTGGGGCAACTTTGTTTGCTTACTTTTCTGTGGGCTTGTTATTTTTTGTTTGTTTGTTTGCTTGCCTTTTTGTACGCCTCGTTTGATTCTAATTGAAATTGCATCATGAGGCAGTCAAATTATGTTTTTGCCTTGGGGCAGAGAAAGTCTTTCCCTCTGGGCAACTGAAGAATGTGCGAAGTTTGACACTTTGGGTAAATTTACCACTCCCGCTTGATTTCACAAATCTCCGCTAATTATATATCAAGCTATGATATCATACTTTTCGATACTGGGTCAATGTCTTAAAAAATCACACAATGCATTTAATGGTCTTACTTAATTGGCTGGCTTCTATTGTAAGTTCCTGCTTTTAAATTTCGTCGAGGAGATTCCAAGGCATTTGCATAAAGCAAACAAAATATGCAAATTCCTTGGACCGGAGACCCAGAAAAATAAAAGAACCTGACCACTTGACTGGCACAAATCATGTTTACACATGAGCAGCGGCCACTTTGGGGCTCGTCCCCATTTGGCCGAGTAACCCAAAAAGTATCTCAGCCCCCATCGTGCTTATTGGCAGATAATTGACACATAAAATTAGCATAATTTCTGAGCAAGTGAACTGGGCAGATAGCCATCGGAATGCATAATGACCGGCAAACGATATCATTTCACTTTTCTTACGCCCTTTTTTCGGATTCGAACGCCTACTCCTCTTTGGTTGGCTTGTGCAAATATTATTAATATGTATATTTGACGCCCGGCAAATGTATGGAATTTAAATTAACAAATTTTCACAGCATTTTTGGGTCTTGTCACAGAGATGCCTATCTATGCAGATGGTTGGATCCAACCGAAAGCTGTAGAAAGCGTGATTGTGGTCTAGTTTAAGGGTCACCACGGTTCTGCCTGTGTTGCGGTATAAACTGAGAATTTAGATATTCAAAACTTTTAAAATAAGAAACCTGAAAATGACCTTTGAAAGTTTTAGATTTTAGCTCAAGACTTATTCTTTAAAGATACTTGTAAACTACTTTACATTGTTTGTATATTTTAAAAAAGTTCGATCAGTAATGACCATAAAATAATTTTGATTTTAAATAGGTTTTTAAGTAAAGTATTAATAATAATATCACTTTACAGCAGTACAATTCTATATGAATATAAAAGCAATTCAAAACTCTACCTTATATTAAACATTTTAAGTTGCTATTATCATCTAAAAATATTTTTTATAAATTATTTTCCGCTAAACCCTTCCAGAAATCTAAGTAATTATTTAGTTGATCATTGTCGGCTAGCTTTTCATCTATTTTTCCCTGACTTTGATGCATTGAATTGTCCGATTTGGGCCACGCCCACACATAAATCGCCGGGCAAAGAGTTGTCAACATTCGGCGCTGTCACTGTTGTCCTGCGACAAACAATTTAATTTATGAGATTCGCAGCTAAACTAAAGCAGAATGCCAAGCAAATTGACAAAGTGAGCATTAAAGGCGGAATCGGAATGGGATTGGGAATGGGTATGGAAATGCAGAGGGCCAAAAGCACGGACAAGAAGTCAAGTTGAAATGCAGAGGGAAAACGTCCTTCGATTGAAGTGTAATGCAAGTGTGTGAGCTTTTCTTTTTTGCCTTATCTTCCCTTACATTTGACACTTGAGTGCCTTTTGCCTGGTTTTTTTTTCTGTTGTTGTTGATGTTGGGCAGTTTGCGCAACGAATCAAATTTAAATTTCTTGATTGTCTGCTCGAGTGGCAGGCCAAAGGCAGTAACTACTGCGAGTGGAACTGGGGTGAGAGATCCTTTTGCGATTTTGCGCATAATAATAATTTGAACAACGTGCCTGGAATTGATGACTGGTCAGCGATGGTTGCCACTGTTCTTATTCCTTTAATGCACCAAAAGAAAATGCTGGAAAATATTTTATGGGCTTACTGTAATTAGATTTTATATGTCTTTCGGTTGTTTTTAAAGAAAAGTTCACTAAACGTTGTTTTCAACCATAAAATCAATGTGAGAAGGTTTCAATCTTGGAGTGGACAAATAAATAGATACATTTCGAATATCAGAAACATTTAGAATATCTGTAATTCTACACAGATCTATGGTTTTCTTTCTATTTAAGATAATATTATTATTATTTTTACAGAATCTTTAACTGTGGAACCTTTTAAAATAGTATTTTATATTTTTCTTTGTATTTATTTTTTCGTTTCTTGTGCCCACGAATATAACTATTTGATATTCGTTTTCGAAAATGTATCTTTTCCTTGACCTATTTGTGTGCTATTTTTTCACCGTGTAGGGAGAAGTGTCGCCTGGGCCCGAGTGACTGATGGACTTGCTCACTGACATGGCTCAGACGGGCGGAGCACCGATCCCCGACTCCCCTAAGCTCGTTATCTTTTCCACATTTTTTACCAGGCTAGCTCCTCGATTCCTTTTTTTCAGTTTTCGCTGTCAACGCGTTCGGCGGCAATCTATGGGCTGTTAAATGGAGCAAAAAGTGTTGCCCGAACAATGGTGTCAATTAAACTTTACATTGTTACATTTAAGGCGACTGCAGGGGAAATGGCTGAACGACCTTCAGTTTTGAATGCGTGTGCTGAAATTTCGCCCTGAAAAACCCCCCAGGCTCCTAAGTGTTTGCTATTTTCTGAGGTTTCACATCCGTCCCTTTTTCGAGGTGGTTGATCATTTGGTCTGATGAAGGTTTTAGGACCACATAAAAATAGATTAATGCCAGCCGAGAAAGGGGTTTCCACTCGGAGTTCACAGAACAGCCATTTGTCTGGTTTATTTTCGGTTTTGAGTGGGCAAGCAAATGAAATAAAATTGCCGGCCCTTGAACCCGCAAAACAATGGCAAAATAATTTCAATTTATGGTTTTTTATTTTATGTATTTAATTGATTATATTTATGCATATTTTTGTACTTTATTGATCATAACTTTGTCATGGCTTGACTTATGATTCTGGTTTAAATCAAGTTTATTAGCAGTTGGGGGGCCAAAAAAAAATGTTGTCATATATTTTACAGGTATTTTATGGATCGTTAGGTTTATGGACCTTCGTTTTGTTTTTTGTCGACACTCACCACTTTCTTTATGGAATTTATCTGGTCCTTTTTTTTTGAGGCTTTAAATTTGTCGATTAGCACTTTTGTGTTTGTGGGCACTGGAATTTTCGTGTGACACTTTTTCACTTTTGTATCTTAATCCTGCCGCCAGGATAAGGATTTTATTTAGGGGCGCTGCTTAAGTCGGCGCACGCGTAACCGAATCGGGAGAGTTTTTGCTGCAATGGTCAGTGGAGCCGGGTTCTTTTATACCCTCGTTCTGAATTTCTTCTGCCGCCGTCGCTAATGAACTTCATAATGAGGTTCCACTGCCGCTGGCGACTGCTCTGCCAGATTCTGGGCCCGGCAGAATTCGCGATCTTTTTGCTGTAATGAAAGCCAAGCTTCGCCGTCGACGTCGCAGTCCGCGTTTGCGGCATAAATTGTAAGCGGTTCGCTTCATTTTAACCCATTGGATACCGCTCCCGAATCTGTGAATGAAAATGGGAGAGATACTATTTAAAAAAAGATTCCTGGATTTTTTATTTTTGGTAAAAGTAGTAATAGTAGTAGTAGTAGTAGTATTAGTATTATTAGTAGTATTATTAGTATTAGTAGTAAGAGTAGTAGTAGTAGAAGTAGTAGTAGTAGTAGTAGAAGTAGTAGTAGTTTTGGTAAAAGTATTTTTTAAAACAATTGCAAGTCCAGTTTTCATAAAAAAACTTTTTAAGTAAGTTACACCTATCAAATAACTGTTGGAAATTTTTGTATATGTAAGAAGTATTCCGTCAGAATTCGTTAAATATAGAAATACTTTCATTCTTATCTTACAGAAAATCTTTTTTATTCACAGAAAAAGTTTTATAGAGCTCTCTCTTGCTGTAACTTTACTATAAGACCTAGCTTATAGCAAAATTACGTTCAAAGAAATTTAACCTGATGTAATTCTTTAAGAATCCACCTGTTGTCAATGGGTTAAGCGGGAGATTCTCAAGACGCCGGCTTCGCTGCCGCTTTTTGTCTTTGCGAATTTTTGCCTTTTGCCAGCCGAGCTCTATCTGCCTCCCTTTCGAGCGAACTGAAACCAGAATTTCCTACCAAAAAACGCGGCTTCTTGTTGTTGGTCAAGTGGGCTTTTTTGGCCCTGTCTTCTTGCGATTGGCTAACTGCCGGGGGAGAGCCCTCAGCTGTTTTTTATTTGTTATTTTTGTTGGCTTTTGTTTTTTGTTCGTTACTCACTTTGCGCGTTTTTTGTTTTGTTCGCTCATTTTGGTTGATTTATGCCGGAAAATATTTGTTTACTGTTTGTCAGCGGCGAATCTGGCAGAGCAACAAGTGATTCATGGGCCTTTAATTAAGTCAGAGTGCAGGCGGGTTTATATTTATCGGTCGAAAGATACTCATTAACTGCAATCCTGTGGAACGAGCCACCAGAGTAGATGTTTCAATTGCCAGTTTTTTCCAACTCTAAGGCCTGCCCGCCCACAAAATCATTTGCCATATCAGCGATGAACGTGCTGGGATTTTCTCCTCTTCTGACAGAAATTGAAATCCGCTCGTCGATTTTTGTCGTAAACGTAAAGATAAAAAAAAAATGCCTATATGTATCTGAGTGAAATTAATTCCGGGCGCTCTACGGTGAAAGCTTTCTGCCAGAATATATAGCTCGTATTGGTTTTGGTTTCTTTCCACTGAACCACTTCCGCATAAAATTTAAATTTGGCCAAGACTTTGTTTCTTTTTTTATTTTGGTTTCTTGTCGCTCCCCCGCAAAAATAAAATTTCAATATCGGTGTCAGGTTCAGTGGAGCAAAGTTGGGCGGATTCCGGCCGAGTATCTTTGTATCTCAGTATCTGTATCCCAGGAAGATGCCTAGCACAGGTGTTGGCGCCATCAGGCGGACAACTTGAACTCGGCTTGGGTTTTTTTCCCCTTATTTTGCTCTTCTGGCAGTTTATGCGCGCACGTGATTTGCATTCGTAAATAGCCCAGACATCGAGTGTGCGTTTGTTTGATATACAAATGCTAAAATAATAAATTGCCTCGAATTATTGGCACTTTCGTTGTGCTGATAAAAAGAATGTGTCTTGGTAATAACAATAATAATGCGACAACGACATCGGCAACATCTTTCCCCCGGCCAAATTGTCCAACGAGAAAAAAAAGCATATCACATCGCATCTTGTTGAGGCCCCCGCAAGGCCATAAAAATATTATTATGATTTTCAATAATCACATGCATTAAATTATCATAATGCGAACATTTTCAATATTTCCACGCCTCGGCGGCGTTGAGAGCTCGGCTTCGCCCTGTTTGCCTCCACTGATTTTCCAATTTGCACTGCTGAAAATTGAAAATCCTGCCACAGTAGAGGGCTCTCGAACAGATGAGCTGGGGCGTTATTTTTTATGAATATTAGTTACCAGGATTTGGGGCTAATTTTTGCGGGGAAATATTCGGGGCTCCCTTTTTATTTTGCACTTTGTACATTTTCGTGTGAAATGGAATCTCAGTTTATAATTTAATTTTGGAATATAATTTCTGAATACAAAATGATTTAACTTACAACTTTTGTAGGTGGAAGAAAAAGATACATTAATTGTATTTGTATTAAGAAAAAGTTTACGCCAACGAACAACAATTCTAAAGGACAACATAACTATTTCCTTTTGCAGATAGATAATATAAACTTCCTAATATGAAATCCTAAATTAATTGAATAATCAATTTGATCAAATTATTAAAGAAACTATTGTTTAAGAAATTGATGTACTAATTTTCTTTAATTGGACCTTAACTTTCTTTCAGATTATCTCAGATATCTCAGGTTTGTCAACCTCGTTTGCGTCATCAGAAAGCCCGCAATAAAACGCCGAAAATGCTGTAACCCAATTTGGGCCAGCCTATAAACATATCTTGTTTAAATGTCTGCACAGAACAGGGAATGAAATATAATAAAAAGTACAAATAAGCGACCGATTTCTAAGAAGAGAACACTTCTTAGTCCGCAAAAGGCCGTACAGCTGACAATGACGCATCAAAAGCGGCTTTCTTTCGGCATCTCTCCACCGCCAGTCATCTCCGAAATACAAATAAAATTAAATCAAAATAACCACACAGACAGCCAACCTTCTAGATACAGTTAAGTAAATTTTAATGTTTTACTTCGCTGAAATCACTTGAGACTCACAGCCGCGCAAAAGCCCTGCTACCCAGAAAAAAAAGGAGAAAAATTCTTATCGGGAACTAAGCACTTGAACATGCGAATTTCAGAAGGGCCCACACACATGGGAAAGGCCAAAAATCCGACCTGTCTCCAAATCAGTACTTTCACCGCTTGACGCCTTAAATGCATGCTGATGAGAACCGAGATGATGACGTTGTCGCCGGCTAATAGAAAGTTCTTTCCCCAATTAATTGCCAAAAAACAAAGCCAAAATTTATATTGGTATTGTCTGGAACCAAAGGGGTTTACGGTCAAGGAAGGCCATTAAAAGTAAATCCAGTGCAAGAAGCTCGCCCAAGCGAAGACAACATCTGAATTTTTATAAACTTGTCGCAGACGTGCCGCTCAGTTTCCCCGGCTCATTGGTGCTGTAATTGTTTATTGTATTCTTGTTTATTTTTTATTTTTTGCATCTGGTACTTTTTGTATTATATTGTATGTGGTATGTGGTTGTTTTGTAGTACCCACACCCTGTCAAAAAAATTCTGTGCCAGTGACCGAGAAAAATTAATTTTGCCGGCTGTTCAGCCATACCGACGCCTGTGGCGATTTTTTCGGGGGAGCAAATCTATCCAGAAACTCGTACAATTGAGCGCGCGCTACCAGTTTGTTGATTGATTTAGCCAGAAATATTTCGCGCGGTCGTTGTCTGAACTTGGGCGTCTTTTTGTTTTGTTTTTGGGAACGGTACAAACCGGTTGCTGCTGTAATTAAAACCCACCCAATGGCTTGTTTTGATGTTACTATTTGCGGAATTTTTGGGGAATAAAGCGATCACAGACAAAGCATTGTAGTAAAATGTTTAAAAGGAATTTTAGCATGTTAAGTCTTTGGTAGATTTTTAGCCAGTTTTTATATTAAAGATATTTAAAATATTTTTTTTTTATAATACTTAGTTAAGTTGTATTTGCGTTTTGAATAAAATAAATTAATAAAATAAGTCAATTTTTACTTATATTACATTTTTGTATAAAATTAGAGATTCCATTAGTCGAGTGTATATTTTTAATGAGATCTCTAACAGATCGCTTGCCTAACTAGGCAAAAATCCATTCATTCTTAAAATGTTTTGCTAATTCGAACTCTTTAAAATCAGAGTTAGAGAGAGCTCGTTGGATGTTAATAAATTCACCGGCTGACAGCTTTCAAGAAGCCAACTCGTTGACCGGGCGATGATAGGGGTCTGAGCAGAGGTTAACCTTCCGTAATTTGCATATATTACTTTCGATCCGACCAATGAGTAAGGGCAGTGATATAGGGGGAAACCTCGCGCTTCCTTTTATTTTTTTTTTTTGCCTTATGGCATAATTAATAAACATCAAATATTATGACGCATTGATGCTAATTTCTTTTGTCTGCGCAGGTGATTGCTTCATTTGGCTCCATAACCTTTTATTCTGACCCACCTCTTTCTTCGCCCGATTAAAATATGCAGAATGAAATTTGCATTTAAATCACCGTGTGTTGTGTGTGCGATATGTTTACTTTTACTTTTGCCTGTAATTGATTGGGTTCATAGGTAAAAGTCAATATGCATAAATTTTAAAAAACTTTAAGAACCGCTGTTGTTCATAACTTATCAGCAAAATCAAACACAGTGTCTACTTAGGGCAAATTACTGTAATTTTAGCAACATAATCAAGGCGTTTGCTCAGGTTGAAATCTAAATATAGACACAAAAGACTCTAAAACACCAATTATGAGCGTGGTTGTTCTGGATGCATCTATAGATGTAGCGAAAATGTGCAGAACGCTTGGAAGACGATGATGATGTAAAGGAGGAATGCCAAAGGACAATTAGCGTTGGCCAGACTCAAGAACTTCAACTCAAAATCGTACTATCCTGCACGGGGAAAAATATTCTGAAGAAGTTTGTACTTAGGATTAAATATAACTCAATGGTCCAAAAAAGTACGTTCTTTGCTACTTCTGAACTGAAATGTAACTGATTTTAAGTAA